CCCACTCAGAAATATTGGACATTCAAAGAAGATGAACTTGCACCAGCTCATCCCCAAACCACACAGGTCTGAAATCTTATCTACTCAGACACACAAACACACACACACACACACACACACACACACAGCTGTAGAACACCAGTGGGTAGCTAAATGGCCTCTCTGGGTAATTTTCGCTTGCTATTGGTCACTGAATCCTTTACAGCTATGATGCCACAGTGAGTCAGTCACAGTGAGTGTCTCATTAGTTTTCTTTAAGGCGAGACACAGCCGCTATAAATACCCATCAAAGTATGTGTGTGTATGTGCGTTTGTGTGGTATCCATGTGACAATGCAAACATCTGCCATGTGAGCAAAGCTGGATTTAACTTTAAGGAAACTGCAGTATTTCGCCGAACATCACTTTACTGCATTTAAGTTATTGTTCATGTCAAGGAGGTCCTTTTTCGGAGCAGTGGCTGAATGAATCAGATACTTAAGTAGAAGTAATATTATCTGTACCTACATATAGCCTGCCGCAAGTCCTTAAGAATCTGAAGCAGTATTTGTGCTCACCAGACACTTCATTAGGTACACCTTTTTACTGTTGGGTTGGACCACTCTCTTGCTTCAAGAGTGACTTAATTCTTTGTAGCACAGATTCAGCAACATGCTGGAAACATTCCTCAGAGATTTTGGTCCATATTGACTTGATAACATCACATATTAGCTGGAGACTTGTCAGGTGCACATCAGTGTTGCGAATCTCCTGTCCCTGCAAAGGTGCTGTATTGGATTGGGATCGAGTGACTGTGGGTGCTGTGTGTATACAGTGAACTCACTGACATGTTCACAAAAACGGTTTGAGATGATTTGAGCTTTGTGATGTGTTGCGTTATCTTGCTGGAAGCAGTCATCAACAGATGGGTCCACTGTGGTTGTAAAGGGATTCACATGCTTACCAACAATACTCAGCCATTAGTACCGTATTGTTGGTACATATTAGTCCAGAGTATGCCAAGATATAATCCCCCACACCATTTTGCCACCGCTGGCTGCCTGAACCATTGATACAAGGCAGGATCGATCCATGTTTTCGTGTTGTTCGTGCCAAATTCTGTCCCTACCGTCCAAATGTCGAAGCAAATCAAGACTCATCACACCAGACAACGTTTTCCCAGTCTTCTGTTGAGTCCATGTGAACTGTAGCTTCAGTTTTCTGTTATTGGCTGAGAGGAGTCCCACAGGTGTGGTCTTCTGCTGCCATAGCACATCAATTTTAAGGTTCACCATGTTTAATATTTAGAGATGCTCTTGTTTGTACTTTGCTTTTAAAGGTGGTGATTTGATTTACTTTTGCCTCCATGTCAGCTGGAAGCAGACAAGAAGGCAACAGACCATTGTCCTTTGACCTTTGACATCAACCATGCTTTTTCTCTTCTTTGGACCATTCTCTATAAACCGTAAAGGTGGTTGCATGGGAAAATCCTAGTATATCAGCAGAATCTGAAATATTCAGATCCCATCTGGCACCAACAACTACGCTTTTTTCAAAATAACTTAAATTACATTTTTTTCTCATTCTGATGTTCAGTTTGAACTTCAGCAGGGTGTCTTGTCTGGATGCCTAAATGGATACCATGTGATTGGCTGTTTAGATTTTTGCATTAATGAGAAGTTGAACAGGTGTCCCTATCAAAATGGCCAGTGATAGAGCAGCCCCATCAGATGTCATGTTCCAGTTCAAATTTTCATCTTAAGTTGGACCTATCTTACTTTTCCTCATTTTCTGGGCTTACTGATGGTAGGTGCTCCTATTAAAAATGGCGAAATTTTCAAATAATGGAGCCGGCATGGGAATAACTAAAAATGCCATATGTGAAAAATTCAGGCTTCAGTGTATTAAAAAAGTTCACTTTCATATGTTATTTCCTCCTACTGGCTCTCTGTTAGGTCACAAAGAGGGGATAGCCCTAATCGGCAATCTGCTGTTTAAACCTTCTGTTTGCAAGTGGCAACCAATCAGAAATAAGTTGGGTTAAAGGAAGAGGAAGTGAAACTAAATTTCACACATAGAAGATGAACCAAGGGACTGGAAAAGAGCAAAGCCGGTAATAAACAAAGCATGGAGTCATTTGTTAAATCTGGTTTTCTTGTACCGTAACTCTACCTTGGTACACTCAGATTCACATATTTTTCTTGGTTACATTCTATACAGCATCTCTGTTTTTAGTCTGTTCGGAGAAGGAAAAGCTTGACATAACAGCCTTTAGATTTAGCAATGAATGGGGCAAATTCTAACAATACATGGAGGAGATAACAGGCATAATTTTTTTGGACTGTGTGTTGGTAACACAACTTTTTCTTATCATTTAGAAAAGCTGCAGTACATGTAAACCCCACTGCTTTGACAACAGCAAGCGCGGACACATATCGTCACCGTCCAATCTACAATAACACTGCCAAACACTCGTCAAACAGCTGGACTTTCAATAAGACCCTCTCCCACCTCATCAGGTATTTTTATCACCCTCCACAATTATCTCCACAAGGTTTTACACTTCGCTGTAGACGGGCGGTCATAATTGGCGCATATTTTCTCTTTTCACAGGAAAAACATTCTGAGATTCCTCGACCCGGAGAGAGACATCTCGATTCTGAAGGGCACGCTGAAACCGGGAGATATCATCCACTATGTTTTTGATCGCCACAGTACCACAAACATCTCAGAAAATCTCTACCGTCTCTTGCCAACCGTATCCCCCATGAAAAACCAGCATTACAGGCGCTGTGCCATCGTGGGCAACTCCGGGATCCTTCTGAACAGCAGCTGTGGGCCTGAGATCGACTCTCATGACTTTGTTATCAGGTAACATGGGTGATTTAAGTCTTAGAAGCCTTTTGCTTGAAATAAATCATAAAACACAGCAGTTAAAATGGAGTATAATTGAAATAGATTGGTGCATGAAGTTTTAGGCTTGTCTTATCTCCTGCACTGAGTGTATAATTCATATTAGTATGATAATCGATAGCTGGTGGCCACACGGCTGGAGATATTTTAATTGCGCATTTGAAAAAGCTGTCAAAGCTTCTCTGATGGCTTAAATTTGGGAGCCAACTGTCAAGTTGAGAGCTGTTAGATGAACGATTATACATGAAATTGACATTTTGAACAGCCTTTGCATGCAGCGGTAAGACGTTGTGCTTTTCAGAGAAACACCAGTGTTCTCCTGGGCCCTGCTCTCATTTAGCAGAGCGCGCTGTTTGCGAAGCCATCGGCCAGGTCTGTTTGTGTTTGGGTGCAAGCTCGCGAGTCCCTGAGTGGGTTATGTATCACCATTCATACCTGCCACCAGAGGTAAAGACAAAAAAGCCTGTCAAGGCTGTATTATATTTGGCAGATGGAAAAAAAAAAAGAAAAGTGTTCTGGTTTAAATTATCTTTGGAGTTAGGCATGATCGAACAGAACCGCCCAACCTGCACACTCTCAGAAATCAGTGTTGTTAGAATTAGAGCAGCACCTCACTGCGCTGGTTGATCGATAGCTCAAAGTCTTGCACACCTTTCACGAGTGGATTCTGTTGTATGCCTGTCTGTCTTGTATCTTGTGCTGCCGTGTTACCCTGATGAGAAGAGGTCATGATTTCTAGACTCCCTCAGCATCATGATAATGCCAGGCGATGGCAGTAATGGTCAGCTGAAGTCACAGAACAGGAAATGTGTCATTTTGAGAAGCGGAGGAATTCGCTTCTGTGCTCACATATCCGATCGGCAGATAATGTTGCAGCTAAATATAGTTCCCTGCCCTTCGCTCGGTTCCCACAAAGTAGGTTGACAGCGTTCGGGGTACATAGATTGCTTCAGCTCATCATGCACCATCTGTTCTTTGCAGTGGGTACATTAGCTGCTGTGGACAGCGACAGCAACCATTAAGATGTAAAACACAACACCCCAGAGCGGAGAACACCCACACAGATAAAAGGTCCAGGGTTCATTTGCTCAAATTAATTAATTAATTAATTTTAAAAAATATATCAAATCTGTGGCAATTAAAGTTTTAACTCCAAAGCCTGCTGAAGTTTTAGCAAATTTGGCAAATGTGATTCACTTTATAATTACGGTTTAAAACATAGATTATGAAAGAGATAGCATGGCGTTGGCGGCACCTGACCAGTCACAAAAAGGGAGCAATTAAATGAACACGAGGCTTACAGAACAAAATCATTTTTGTTTAATTAAAAATTGCCTTATGAGGCTTTGATGTATTTATTTATTGAGATTCTGAATTTCTACAAGACTGTGATTTCAAGAGGTTCTGTGTTTTTATAGTACCTGTACTGATTTTACTAAATCTTGCCTCTGACATATTCCCTCCATGCAACAATAATTAATAAAGACTGAAACTACAGTGGGGCAAAAAAGTATTTAGTCAGCCACCGATTGTGCAAGTTCCCCCACTTAAAATGATGA